CACCTTCATTAATCAAGCCAAATACATTAAGGATTTGCTCATAAGGTTTGGATTGAAAGAATCAAAGCCTTGCTTAACACCAATGAGCACTTCAACAAAACTTGACAAGGATGAAGGAGGTAAATGTGTTGACTCTAAACTTTATAGGTCTATGATGAGTTCATTACAATATCTTACTGCTAATAGATCCAATATTATGTTTAATGTATATTTATGTGCTAGATTTCAATCTTCACCTAGAGAATCACATTTATCTACTGTCAAAAGAATTTTTAGGTACCTTAAGGCACCCTTAATTTAGTATTATAGTATCCAAAAGGCTCATCTTTTGCTTTACATGCCTATTCCGATGTGGATTTTGGTGGATGCAAAATTGATAGAAAAAACACATCTGGTACTTGTCAATTGTTTGGAAATATGCTCATATCATGGTTTTCCATAAAAACAAAATAGTGTTGCCCAATCTACAATCGAAGCTGAATATGTGGCAGCCAGAAGTTGTTGTGCTTAAGTTTTATGGATTAAGCAACAATTGGAGGATTTTGGAATAACCTTGGATCATATTCCCATTAAATGTGACAATACTAGTGCCATCAATCTCACTAAAAATCCAATTCAATATTCTAAAACCAAATATAATGAAATTAGGCATCATTTTATTAGAGATCATGTTTAAAAAGGTGATATTGTGATTGAATATGTTGATACCTTGCATCAACTAGCTGATATCTTCACAAAACCTATTGATAAGGATAGATTTTATGTAATTAGAGGTGAACTTGGTATGATGAATGTTCCTTGAAGTGAATTTCTTGATGTTATGATGAATAGTGCACTCTTGATTAATCAAATGTGTGTTTTCTAAATTTTTCTTTGGTTTGTGGATGATTGTAGAATGCATGTTTGAATGATCATATTGCATGGTTTTTAAATCTTTTATTTAAAAAAAATGCTACAGCAAAAACCAATCGATCCCCTTTGGAATGGATCGATTGGTTCTTCACCCCGTAGCCAAATTAAAGGGAAAACATAGGGAACCGATCGATCTCTTTGGGATAGGATAGATCAGATGTGTAGGCAGTAGCCAATTTTAGTTGAACCCATGCAAAATCGATCGATCCCCTTTGGGCAGGATCGATCGGATATTCAACTAGTAGCTAAAAGGAGTTGGAGACTTGTAAAACCAATCGATCCCCTTCAAACCCAATCGATCCATTCCATGCAAGAATCATAACCGATCAATCCCCTACTTTAGCCAATCGATCAGGTCATGTTTCTTTGGCGTGATAAAGTCGGGTCTTCTCCTAGTTGACCAATCATTTAAGCTTTCTTCTCCTGTTAATCTTTTTTCCAAACTCAACCTCTCCAAACCCTACACACTCCCATTCATTTCTCACCCAAAATTAATCTTTCTTAGCTACATCTCTTGTAAATTTCTTCATTCCAACTTGATCTCTTGTCAAAATTCCTCTTTAAAACCCATCAAATCACACAAAAATTCATACCCATCTTTTCTCACTCTAGAAGGTTAATCTACCACACTCACTCACCTTTCTTACATCACACAAACATATCTTGCTCCTCATCATCTACTATCATAAATTCACTCATCAATTTCACCTCAACATGGCCCCAAAAACCAAAGTCACTACTGGAATAAGAAAATCTCCTAAGGGAGGCTTCAAGCTCAATGATGAAACCCTCTTTCAATTAAAATTTCAATAATCCAGATGCAAAAGATCGGTATGAGACTCATTTTGCACATTAGGAAGCAAAGCTTGGGAGGGTAATCTCATTAGATTTCCTTTAATCCATAGAGTTTCCCTATTTGCATGCAATTTGGATGATTACATTATTTATACATGGATGGTCTACTATTTGAGAATCTAGTAAGAGTTTTCTATAGTAATGCTACCTGTGTCCAAATTGAAGGATCAAATAGGCATTACCTTGATAGATTCAGAACTTATGTGATGGGGAAAGAAATATTAGTTACCAAACAAGTGCTAGCTAAAGCTTTTAAGTTAGTTGATAAGGGGGAAACAAACACTAGATGTGACATGGTATAACTTGCTAAGACATCATTAGCAATCACAATCTACAAGTTGCTCCCACTCAAGCCTCTAGGTTATCCATGCATGATAGGTTGCTCCACCTCATTGTTACTCGTGTATTAGCACCTTTCGAGACACAATACTCCACCATTGGAAGCAAGATTATTGATGGATGTATAAGATCAAGCATGAACATAAACAAAATTTGGTGCACTTTATTTTTCATGATATGATGAGGATAGTTCGTAATAGAGATTATACCTTGATATATAGGTATGCCATAAGTAATCTTTTGAGGTATTTGGAGGTGAATACTAGAAGAGACAAGCAGATGGTATTCAATGACCCATTTAGTATTCTAGGGGCTCCTACACTGCATAGCATGGTGTATGTTAAAAATACAGCTAGACTATGGGTTAAAAAAGGTGATACTGGGGCTGCACAAGTAGAAGGGGAAGAGCAAGAACTTTTAGATATGCCTGAACCTCAAGATGAACCCTCTACCCCACCATTCAATACTCAAGAAGCCTTAGAAATGCTCCTGCTTCAAATGAATAGCTTGCATTCCGTGGTTGGCAATATGAACACCATATTGGAAATTATGGAAGAAACTTAGAATGAGCTGGTAGCGTAAGTTCACCATCTTCAAGATGACATTAAGGAAATGAGGTCTACAAATCTGCACCTGGGGCAGCCTTTCTCTCACTCTCCTCATCCTTATGAATCTCCTCATTCTCCACCTCTACCTCAATGAGCTTTACTAGTGCCATTTTCTTATGTTTTCCCACATCTTTGTATTTTGTAAATCTATCTTTGCATTATGGTTTGTAAACTTTGATTTTCTATTAATGAACCTTATCTTTCATTCTCATATTTCTTATACTTTATGGCATGTGATATTGTTGTGTTAAGTGGCCTTGAATTGATTATACTCATTTTGATATACTTCATCCTTTTTGCTATGACAAAAAGAAAGAGAAATATTGGTATGAAAAATTGCTTTGATGATGCTTTGGTGATTCAAATGATATTGATGGTTTTGGTGATGTTGGTTTTGCCTAGTTGCCTTAAAACTTATGCTTAAATTCATGAGGAGTTATATTGTTATTCATGGGGAGTTTGCTTTTCACAAATTTAGGGGGAGCTTGTTTTTCAAAAGTAAAAATATTTTTTATGCAAATTTTTCATTTGGTTTTGTCATATCAAAAATGGAGAGATTGTTGGCCTTGAATTGATCAAGAGTTTTGATTTGACAAAACAAAAATTTGCCTAACTTGAATTAATCTTTTCTAAGCTTAAATTGAACATTTTTCCACCCTTCTATCTTGCCAAAATCCATTTGAGAACCAAAACAAGTCAAATTTTTGGAACAAAACCTGATTAGTGCAAGTTTTGATAGAAGGGATCGATCCCCTAAGGGAAGGGATCGATCCCCTTCTTACCAGATCGATCCCCTAGTAGAAGGGATCGATCATGTTTTCTTTCAGAACAGAAATTCTTCATGTTTTGGCAAAAACCAATTGATCCCCTCCCTATAGGGATCGATTGGTTGAGGTTTGAAACTGGTTAAATCAATCCCCTCATTCAAAGGATCGATCACTTTTTCATACAAAAAGTTTTCATCGTGCAATTTTTCAAAAAAGGGATTGATGCCCCTCACATAGGGGATCGATCACCTAAGGCAATGATCAATCCCCTCTTCAAGGGATCGATGGGTTGCTCAAACAGAATGCTCTTCAAGTTTGAAAATCCAGAAAAGGGATCAATCCCCCCACATAAGGGATCAATCACCTAAAGAATGGATCGATCCATTGAATGAAGGGATCGATCGGGTAAAGCTTTTCAAGCACAAAATCATGCTTCTTTCAACCTGAACCAATCGATCCCATCCTTTAGGGGATCAATTCTCTGAACGTAAGAAACTTTCAACGATTATTTTTTGTCTAAAATTTTTACAGGTTTGAAGCATTAAATGCATTCCAATGGCTCTCAACTTCTTCCTACCTATAAATCAAGCATTCATTGCAGACCAAGAGTAACAAGAGCCAAGAGAACTTATTGCTATTCACCTACCAATTTGTTCAAGCATTTAAAGCTGAAAATTGCAAAATTCATATCAATTTTTCTCTATTTTCTTATCTATACTATTGTGTACTTCAACTTAGCAAACACCTAATCTTTGAGAGGTTCTTAAAGTTTGCAAAACACTTCAAAAAATCTATATTGTGAGTTTGTAAGTGTAAAGGGCAGGATAACCCTTAAGAGTGTGTAGTATTTAGTTTGTAAAGCTTTGTGAAGCTTAGTTGTAATCTTCAACTTATAGTGGATTAAACTCCTTAGCAAGAGGTTAAGAGAGAGGACGTAGGTGCCTAAGAAAAGACCGAACCTTTATAGATCTTGGTGTTAAATTCTCTAACCCTATCTCCTATTTACTTTCAGCTATTGTGCTTATTTGCTTAGATAATTTGTTTAGCTAAATTTGTGCTTATTGAATATTGTTTTTGAAGATTTTATTAAAACCAATTCACCCTTCCTCTTGATTTATTCTAAGTCTTTGAGCTAACAATTGGTATCAGAGCTAGTATTCTTTTTTGTAGGTTTAACAACCCAAGAGTGATCCTAAAAATGGCTTAAAGAAATATGGCAATCAGTGTGGAAGAACAATTTTCAAGCTACAACAACTATAGTGGCCAACAAAAGGTGCATCTCATGGCAAATGAAACAATTGCAACATCTTTTAGAAATAAAAGGCATTCAATTGTAAGACCCCCTCTCTTTGTTGGTGACAACTACTCCTATTAGAAGATTAGGATGAGGTTGTTCATTCAAGCTAATGATTATGAAGTTTGGAGGGTCATTGTAAATGATCTTCAAATTCCAATAAAGATGGTGGATAGTAGGAAAGTGATCAAGCTAGAGAATGAATGAGATGTCAATGACATGAAGATGGCTCAACTCAATGCCAAAGCAATGCATACACTCTTTTGTGCAATATGGCCAAGTGAGTACAATAGAGTCTTCTTGTGCGAAAATACAAAAGAAATTTGGGATAAGTTAGCTATTACTCATGAAGGTACAAATCAAGTCAAGGAGACAAAAATTGGCATGCTCACTCATGATTATGAGCTATTCAAGATGAAACCAGATGAAACCATTAGTGAGATGTCAAACCGCTTCACTGACATAATTAATGGTTTAAAAGCTCTTGAAAAAACTTACTCAAATATGGAGATAGTGAAGAAAATTCTCAATAGTCTACCAAAGAGTTGGAAAGCCAAAATGACAGCCATTGAAGAGTTCAAAGATCCTCACACACTCTTTTTGGATGAACTAACAGGCTCTCTCATCACCTATGAAATGAAGATCAGAAGAGGACAAGAACCAATCAAGAAAGGTGGCATTGCTCTCAAATCTACCTTTCAAAAAGATGAGGAAAATTTTACACAAGAGGAGGGTGATAAAGATGAAGAGATGGCCATGTTTGTAAAGAGATTCAAAAAGTTCATAAAGATGAACAAATTCTCAAGTAGAACAAAACCACAAAGGGAGATGACTAAAGGGGCATCAAGTAGAATAGAAAGGGATCAAATTATTTGCTATGAATGCAACAAATCGGGTTGCATTAAACTTGATTGTCCTTTGTGGAAGAAGCAAAACATGACCAAGCCAAAAAAGAAAGCTATGGTAGTAACATGGAGTGATAGTGACTTCTTCGATGATGAATCAAACAAGGGGGAAGTAGCCAATCTATGTCTCATGGGTCTTGATGAGCCCAAGGTAACCTCTAATCCATGTGATTCAAATTCATACACATTTGATGAATTACAAGATGCCTATGATGAATTAGCCATAGAATTTGAAAACATGAGCATGAAATATAGGAAAATGGTCTCTAAATTGAAACTAGAAAATGAATCATTGACTAAAGCAAAAGAAGATTTAGAAAAGAAAATTGAGCTCTTAAAGTTGAATGGAAATGACTTGACTAAGAAAAATGAAAATTTGCATAATTCATTTTCTAGATTTTATATGGGACATCAAAAGCTCAATGACTTGCTTGAAACACAAAGAGCTTTCTTTGATAAAGATGGACTAGGTTATAATAGTGGCAACAAAGAAACTCATTTAAATAATTTCCTTGTTAAGCCAAATGATTCATCTAACATGTGTGCACATTGTCATAAATTGGATCATTCTATATAATATTGTTTCTTGAAGAAAGTCACTTATAGAGGTAAGCTTATTAGGAGAGTGTGGATTTCAAAAGGAGTTAACACATCTCAAGAAGAGGTTACTAAAATGAAGTGGATTCTAAAAGGCACAAAAATTGTTAGTACTAACACTCAAGGACCTAAGAAAATTTGGGTGCCCAAAACAAAAATTTAATTATGTTTTTGTAGATGGATGAGTATTGCTACAAAGCCAATTCAAACAAGAACAATCCATGGTACGTTGATAATGGATGCTCAAAACACATGACTAGAGACAAAACTCTCTTTAAGGACTTGAAAGCTAAAAGTGGAGGAGATGTTACATTTGGTGACAACTCTAAAGACCAAATTGAAGGGATTGGCTCCATTGGTAACAATTCCTCTACTACTATTGAAAATGTTTTACTTGTAAAAGGTCTCAAGCATAATTTACCTAGCATTAGTCAATTGTGTGATAAAAGATTTAGGGATGTGTTTGAATCCATGTGCTGTCAAGTAATTGATGTCAAAACTAACAAACTTATTTTTGTTGGACATCATTAAAGAAATATTTATGTAGTGCATCTAGATGACCTATCCTCTAAAAATGTTTATTTTATGGCTTAAAAAGAAAATGAGAGTTAGATTTGGCATAGAAGGCTTTGACATGCAAGTATGCATGTAATTTCAAAACTTTCTCAAAATGATTTGGTTGTTGGTTTGCCAAAGTTGAAATATGAAAATGACAAGGTTTGTGATGCAAGTGCTCAAGGAAAACATAGAAGAATTTCTTTCAAACCTAAGAATTGCATTTAAACTACTAGACCTCTTCAACTACTTCATATTGATCTTTTTAACCCTACTAGAACAATGAGTTTTGGTGGAAAACAATATGGGTTTGTTATTGTTGATGATTTTACTAGATTCACATGGGTTCTCTTTTTGCATTCAAAGAATGAGGCTTTGGAAAAATTCATCACTTTTAGCAAACAAATACAAAATGAAAAAGGTTATCCAATTACTAGTATTAGAAGTGATGATGGAAAGGAATTTAAAAATCTTGGCTTTAATGTATTTTGTAGTGACAATGGTATTAGCCACAATTTTTCTGCTTCTAGAACTCCTTAACAAAATGGGATAGTAGAAAGGAGAAATAGAACCTTAGAAGAAATGGCTAGAACCATGCTCTGTGAAAATAATTGACCTAGATATTTTTGGGTAAAAGTCCTAAATACTTCTTATTATATTATAAATAGAGCTATGATTAGGCCAATTTTCAAGAAAACTCCCTATGAGCTTTTTAAAGGAAAAAGGCCTAACATAAGTTATTTTCATTTTTTTGGTTGCAAGTGTTTTATTTTGAATAATAGAAAAGATGATCTTGGTAAATTTGATGCAAAAAGTGATGAAGGGAGTTTCATAGGATATTCTTTGAATTCAAAAGCTTATAGAGTTTTTAATAAAAGAACATTAGTGGTTAAAGAATCTATACATGTTATTTTTTATGAGTCTAACCCACCTTCGAGAAAGGTGTTTCTTGATGATGATGATATAGGTATACTTCAAGAATGGATTAATGATGCACCTCATGACATTGAGGAGAACAATCAAAAGGAAGACGATGAGTTTATAGAGAAGCTACAACACATAGAGAGAGAGCCAAATCACCCTAAAGAAATGAGGTATGTCAAAGATAATGAAATTATTGGTGATCTTACTCAAACGATAAGAACTAGATCCTCTTATAAATGTATGTAATTATGCTACTTTCCTATCTCATATTGAACCCAAAAATATAGATGAAGCCTTAGGCGATGATCATTGGATTTTGGCCTTGCAAGAGGAATTGAACCAATTTGAACGAAACCAAGTATGGAATTTTATACCTAGGCCTAGTGATCATCCTACTATAGGCACAAAATGGGTTTTTAGGAATAAAATGGATAAGCATAGAAATGTTATTAGGAACAAAGCTAGATTGGTAGCTCAAGGGTATAGTCAAGAAGAGGGAATTGATTATGATGAAACCTATGCCCCGGTTGCAAGGTTAGAGGCCATAAGAATGTTTCTTGCATTTGCTTGTTTTAAAAATTTCAAGCTTTTTCAAATGGATGTCAAGAGTGCATTTCTTAATGGTTTTATAAATGAAGAAGTGTATGTCAAGTAACCTCTTGGTTTTGAAAGTCCAAAATTTCCAAAATCATTTTTATAAATTGACAAAAACATTATATGGTTTAAAACAAGCTCCTAGAGCTTGGTATGAAAGATTGTCAAATTTTTTGACAAAAAATGGTTTTAATAGAGGTAAGGTTGATACTACACTTTTTATTAAAATAAAAGGAAAGGGCATTCTCATTGTGCAAATTTATGTTGATGATATTATATTCGGTGCTACTAATGAAATTCTTTGCCAAGAATTTGCTAAGATTATGCAAGGTGAATTTGAAATGAGCATGCTGGGAGAATTGACATTCTTCTTGGGACTACAAGTAAAGCAAACAAAAGATGGCACCTTCATCAATCAAGTCAAATACATCAAAGATTTGCTCATAAGGTTTGGATTGAAAGAATTAAAGACTTGCTTGACACCATGAGCACTTCAACAAAACTTGACAAGGATAAAGGAGGTAAATGTGTTGACTCTAAACTTTATAGGTCTATGGTTGGTTCATTACTATATCTTACTGCTAGTAGACTCGATATTATGTTTAGTGTATGTTTACGTGCTAGATTTCAATCTTCACCTAGAGAATCACATTTATTTGCTGTCGAAAGAATTTTTAGGTACCTTAAAGACACCTTTAATTTAGGACTATAGTATCCAAAAGGCTCATCTTTTGCTTTACATGCCTATTTCGATGCGAATTTTGGTGGATGCAAAATTGATAGAAAAAGCACATTTGGTACTTGTCAATTGTTTGGAAATATACTCATATCATGGTTTTTCAAAACACAAAATAGTGTTGTTCAATCTACAACTGAAACCGAATATGTGGCGGTCGAAAGTTGTTATGCTTAAGTGTTATGGATTAAGAAACAATTGGAGGATTTTGGAATAACCATGGATCATATTCCCATTAAATATGATAACACTAGTGCCATCAATCTCACTAAAAATTCAATTCAACAATCTAGAACCAAACATATTGAAATTAGGCATCATTTTATTAGAGATCATGTTCAAAAAAGTGATACTGTGATTGAATATGTTGATACCTTTCATCAACTAGCTAATATCTTTACAAAACCTCTTGATAAGGATAGATTTTATGCAATTAAAGGTGAACTTGGTATGATGAATGTTCCTTGAAGTGAATTTCTTGATGTTATGATGAATAGTGCACTCTTGATTGATCAAATGTGTGTTTTCTAAATTTTTCTTTGATTTGTACATGATTGTAAAATACATGTTTGAATGATCATATTGTATGGTTTTTAAATCTTTTATCTAAAAAAAATGCTATAGTGTAAACCAATCAACCCCTTTGGAATGGATTGATTGGTTCTTTGCCCCGTAGCCAAATTAAAGGGAAAACATAGGGAACTAATCGATCCCCTTGGGATAGGATCGATCAAATGTGTAGGCAGTAGCCAATTTTAGTTGAACCCATGCGGAACCGATCGATCCTCTTTGGATAGAATTGATCGAGTATTCAACCAATAGCTAAAACAGAGTTGGAAACATGCAAAATTGATCGATCCCTTTCAAAACCAATTGATCGGTTCCATGCAAGAACCATAACCGATTGATCCCCTACTTCAGTCGATCGATTGGGTTAATTTTTTGGTGTGATAAAGTTGGTTCTTCTCCTAATTGATAGATCATTTTAGCTTTCTTCTCCTGTTCATCTTCTTCCCAAACTCATATTCTCCAAACCCTACACACTTCCACTCATTTATCACCCAAAATTGATCCTTCTTAGCTACATCTCTTGCAAATTTCTTCACTCCAACTTGATCTCTTGCCGAAATTCCTCCTTGAAACCTATCAAATCCCTTAAAAATTCATACGCATCTTTTCTCACTCTAAAAGGTTGATCTACCACACTCACTTACCTTTCTTGCAACACATAAACATGTCTTGCTCCTCATCATCTACTATCATAAATTCACTCATCAATTTCACCTCAACATGGCCCCAAAAACCAAAGTCACTACCGGAACAAGAAATCCCCCAAGAGAGGCTTCAAGCTCAACGATGAAACCCTCTTTCAATCAAGATTTTAATGATCCAGATGCAAAGGACTGGTATGAGACCCATTTTGCACATCGGGAAGTAAAGCCTAGGAGGGTAATCTTATTAGAATTCCTTCAATCCATAGAGTTTCCTTATTTGCATGCTTTTGAGCAATTTGAATGGTTGCATTATTTGTGTATGGATGGTCTACTATTTGAGAATCTAGTAAGAGTTTTCTATAGTAATGCTAACTGTGTCCAAATTAAAGGATCAAATAGGCATTACCTTGATAGATTCAAAACTTATGTGATGGGGAAAGAAATATTAGTTACCAAATGAGTGCTAGCTAAAGCTTTTAAGTTAGATGATGAGGGGGAAACAAACACTAGATGTGACATGGTGCAACTTGCTCAAGACATCTTTAGCAATGATAATCTACAAGTTGCTCCCACTCAAACTTCTAGGTTATTCATGCATGATAGGTTACTCCACCTCATTGTTACTTATGTGTTAGCACCTTTTGGGGCATAATACTCCACCATTAGGAAGCAAGATTATTGGTGGATGTATAAGATCAAGCATGAATAGAAGCTAAATTTGGTGCACTTCATTTTTCATGATATGATGAGGATAGTTCAAAATAGTGATTATACCTTGGTATATGGGTATGCCATAAGTAATCTTTTAATGCATTTGGAGGTGAATACTAGAGGAGACAAGCAGATGGTATTCAATGAACCATTTAGTGTTTTAGGGGCTCCTACACTGCATAGCATGGGGTATGTTAAAAATACAGCTTGACTATGGGTTAAAAAGGGTGATATTAGGGCTACACAAGTAGAAGGCAAATAGCAAGAACCTTTAGATATGCCTGAACCATAAGATGAACCCTCTACCCCACCATTGAATACTCAAGGGGCCTTAAAGATGCTCCTACTTCAAATGAATAGTTTGCATTCTGTGGTTGGCAATATGAACACCAGATTGGATACTACAGAGGAAACTTAAAATGAGCTGGTAGCACAAGTTCACCATCTTCAAGTTGACATTGAACAAATGAGGTTTACACATCCGTACATTAGGCAGCCTTCCTCTCACTCTCCCTATCCTCATCAATCTCCTCATTATCCACCTCCACTTTAATGAGCTTTACTAGTGCCATTTTCTTATGTTTTCCCACATCTTTGTATTTTGTAAATCTATCTTTGCATCATGGTTTGTAAACTTTGATCATTATATTAATAAACCTTATCTTTCATTCTCATATGGCTCATGACTCTGTGGCATGTGATATTGTTGTGTTAAGTGGCCTTAAATTGATTGTACCTTCATTTTGATATACTTCATCCTTTTTGCTATGGCAAAAAGGGGGAGAAATATTGGTATGAAAAATTACTTTGATGATGCTTTGATGATCCAAATGATATTGATGGTTTTGGTGATATTGGTTTTGCCTAGTTGCCTTAAAACTTATGCTTAAATTCAGAGGGAGTTTTCTTTTCAAAAATTCAAGGGGAGCTTGTTTTTTAAAAGGGAAAATGTTTTTCATGCAAAATTTTCATTTGGTTTTGTCATATTAAAAAGGGGAAGATTGTTGGCCTTAAATTGATCAAGAGTTTTGATTTAACAAAACAAAAATTTGCCTAACTTGAATTAATCTTTTCTAAGCTTAAATTGAACATTTTTTCACCCTTTTATCTTGCCAAAATCCATTTAAGAACCAAAACAAGTCAAATTCTCAGAATAAAACTTGATTAGTGCAAGTTTTGATAAAAGGGATCGATCCCCTCCTTACTAGATCAATCCCCTAGCAAAAGGGATCGATCTTGTTTTCTTCTAGAACCAAAATTCTTCATGTTTTGGCAAAAACCAATCGATCCCCTCCCTGTAGGGATTGATTGGTTGGGGTTTCAAATTGACCAGATTGATCCCCTCATTAAAGGATTAATCACTTTTTTATACAAAAAGTTTTCATCGTGCAATTTTCCAAAAAAAAGACTGATCCCCCCATATAAGGGATCGATCACCTAAGGCAAGAGATCGATCCCCTCTTCAAGGGATTGATCGGTTGCTCAAATAGAATGCTCCTCAAGTCTGAAAATCCAGAAAAAGGATCAATCCCCCCACATAAAGGATTAATCACCTAAAAAATGGATGATCCCTTGAATGAAGGGATCGATCAGGTCAAGCTTTTCAAGCACAAAATTGTGCTTCCTCCAACCTGAACCAATCGATCCCCTATTTTAAGAGATCGATCCTCTGAAGGTCAGAAACTCCCAACAACTATTTTTTGTCTAAAATTTTTGTAGGTTTAAAGCATTACATGCATTCCAATGACTCTCAACTTCCTTTTACCTATAAATCAAGCATTTCACTGCAGACCAAGAGTAACAAAAGCCAAGAGAACTTATTGCTATTCACCTACCAATTTGCTCAAGCATTCAAAGCTGAAAAGTGCAAAATTTATATTAGTCTTTTTTTATTTTCTTGTCTATATGATTGTAT